GTCCAGTTTGGGGATGCAGGCAGTCTGGGAAGTGATGGAGATGATTACAGGGTCACAGAGAGTCAGTGGATTAGCCCTCTGGAGTGTAACCATGTGCCATGGAAAAGGAGTCAGGGCTGGCAGTCCACTGCCCAGTGCTCAACAACAAACCAGAAACAAGAACATTACCCAGAGCAAATAGCCAAAATGATAAAAAAGCCAAGGATTTTTATGTAATTACCACAGATGAATCTTCCATAGGACGAGTGGTGAGACAGAGAAAAGCACATCTGCTTCCTCCATGGTCCTTTTGTAGGACCGTCTTACAGGGCAATAGCTCAATGAGTTTAAACACCCCTTGGGCTGACAGACAGCTTGGCTGTAGTCCATCCTCTCTTTGAAGGGATTTGATCCTATCTCTTACACTGCTCTGATAATGTGGCTGTACAAGGAAGTTGACTTGCTATTACTCTTTCTGTAGCAGAATTGGCAAAGGCAAAAAGAGACGATGGGAATGGCTGACAAAGACAGCATTCCAGCTACCACAGCTCAAACCCATTTGGCAGATGTAAGATTTGTTCCTGATTTTCTGCACAGGGCAGCTGCCTGAGACACCTGATCAAAGACCACCTGTCCCCCCATCCATCAGGGCCAGAGGAAGCCATGTGTCTCCTAGTGCACCCACAGGCCCACCATCCCTCTGTGCTCACAGACAAGATCAAAGAAAAGCAGCAGAGCTGATGCCAGGCTGGATGGGGCTTTGAGTAACCCGGTCTAGTGGAAGGTGTCCCAGCCTGTCAAGGGTGGGCTGGAAAAATATTATCCTTAGAGTCCTTCTTACCCCAACAATTCTATAATTTTATGATGTTGGAATATCTCACTCTCATCTCTGCCATGTTCTCCTCATGCATGCTTTGTGCCATGCTAGATATGCTCTAAGTATCTCTAAAGCCAGGTTTAAAACCAACCTACGTTACAGATCAGGCCATGTCTTAAAAGTCACTTTTAACTTTAACAACAGTCCCTGCTGTCATGTCAAGTAGGGACACAAGAACTCAGCATTGCCACAAGGGCAGTGGTTCACCGTGGTGAAGTCATGGACTGAAAAGTGGCTGAGCTCACCTGGCAGCAGTCCAGGCAGGGCAGAAACACAGGAAAGCTGGTGTTGCCCTAACATCTCCCAGTGTCTTTCTCAATAGTTCTTGCTCTGTACATAGCCTGTCCTGAACAAACTTCGGTCCAAGGATTTTAGATGCCTGCAGGCTTAGGCAGGGTGCTTGTGAGTACTGTTTGTGCATAACTAAGGGGGTAAATCCCATTTGTTTTCAAAAATGCTTGCATAGTTTGATATGTTAAGTAGATGCCTTCTTGTATGTGAAAGCTACCTTCAGAAATCAAGCCTTTAGGCACTTGTTGCTCTCTGAGACTTGAAAGTGGTTAAGGAGGAACCAAAAGGAACATTTCAGCAACAGTGAAGCAGAACACTGTTGATGTTTACAATGACTCACATTAAAGTATTTCTCCTGCATAAGGTTAGTACTGCTTTTTTAGTTATGACATCCAGGAAACAGCAAAATTGCAATACTCCCATGCCTTTGGGTATTAATTAGCTTAAACTCACAATATCTGAAAAATGAGTGATATTTACCTAGCTGTGAAGGAAAATGTAGCAAGTGTAGACTGGATTAGAAATGGATGACAACGTGCCATGGATTTCACGTAGACAAGGGGACTAGTGAGATGTGTTAATCATGGAATTTCTATCTGTATTTCTGCTTTGTTAATGTCGTAAACTTTGAAATGAAACATTACTTTCAATTTGGGAAAAGCATTGAAATTCCTGGCAAATGAAAGATGTAGCTCAGATGACGTTGGAAACATCGGAAGCTGTAATGCTGCCTTTCTATACAGTGAACAAGAGAAGATTTCTTGTAACCATGATTTTGTTATAATTCATAAATTATTGCTGGAATTAAAGGCCTCTTGGGTGCCAGCAGGGGAAATTTATCCATAATTTCAAGTACTTGTCCCATATGAATAGAAACTTCCCTTGGAATCCAAGAGCAGGCATGCAATTTAGCATCACAAAATATAACCTGTTAGAACTAAATTTGTTGACTGCACAGCAGATCACCTAGACCCAATCCCTTGCAATGAAATCTCAGGCAATAATCCCTTACTGACTTCACTGACAGAGAGCAAGGGTGACCCATGTGCAAGTTGACTAGAACTGGAACACTGAATGCTGCCAGGGAATCGGGAAATCATGCTGGAGACCCACAAGTGTTATATAAAAGCCAGAAGTAGGTCACACACTCGTCTTTGTCAGCAATAAGATATTTTTGAGGCTAGGTTTGTGCTGCCAGGTCTGAGGGTTTGCAGCACAGCCAGGAAGGAGGTGCTGAAGGCACTGAGTTAAGCAATATTCATGGCAGCACAGGCTGAAGTTGCAGTTTTACAGCTCAGAAATTTCCCCTGCACAGACCTGCTCTACCAGGTTTTGGCCAGGGGCCCTACACTGCTACCAGAGTTCAGCCTGGCTGGGACACTGGGGGTACATAAGGCAGCAGAGAGGAGCAGTTTCAAGCTCTGAGTAATTAAGCCCTTGGCTTTGCACAGACTTAGATTCATCCTATTGAGGCTCTATGAAATGTTCTTTTTCTTTTCTCTATACTACATTATTAATTAGTTTTAAAATATATAAATTGTGAATTAGAAATAACCTCTGTGTTAAGGTTAATAATAATAGCAATAAAGATATTGCATATATGTTATATCTTGTATTACATGTCTTAGAGTGGGGCTATGGGAATGCACCCAAGGCAGAAGATTAATTCCAGAAGAGGAAGAAATAAGGGCAATCCTAGGATCTTACTCAAGCAATTTAGAGGTTGTAAAAAGGAGAACATAGCAATTTTCACACTGACTTCTTTAAGCTAAAACCAGAGATTGATATTGTATATTATGCTACTTCTGGATAAAGTCACCTCAAAGAACAACGTCAAAGGTCTATGTGATCATCTAATTTTCTTTATAAAGCATGTTCCAGGTGATTGATCTCTTGTGAGAAATAGGAAATAGTATCAAGAAAAGTGAAAAAGAGTAGCAAAAAAAAAAAATACTTGAGAAAGCTGATAATCAGAAAACTATATTAATGTCATTAATACTTTCCTAGATGATTTTGATGCCTTCTAGTAGCCCTCTCATTAGAGAGAAAGATGAGTGATGAAAATTTAAGTCCTACAGGCTAGAAAGTTACTTCTTCCTTCTAGTACACATGGAGACACTGAGGGAAGAGAAAAAGAGTTGGAAGGCTGTAGGAGACTGTACCAGAAGCTACCTCTACAGAGAGATACTGTCAGTGTGTAAGATTCACAGGAGAACTCTGCACCAATTTTTGGAGTCATTTCACTCACTCTGGTACCTCACCTCCCATAACTCTGTGAGTGGGGTCATGAGCACAAGCTCCCTCAGGGGATTTTGCTTCCCCTTGGCTCAGTTGGTCCATTCCTGGGTCATTCCCTGTGCCTGTCCATCTCCTTCCAGGACTAGGGAGGGGTTCTCTCCCTGATGGAAATGCTTCATTTAGCTGTCTGCTCTTTGGGTACAAATTCAGACCTCAGTGACCAGATAACCCTTATGGAGTCCCACCAGCCTTGCCTTGCTGTTTCAGCTGCCCAGACCTAGCAATCCTTCATGTCCTGCCTGTGGATGGCCACAGGCATGCTCTGCTCTGGGGATCCTTCTGGTACCAATACAGTGATCTCCAGCAGGAAATAATTTCAGCAAATACCTCAAGTGTACAATATATTTATAAACTCTCCTTTCACATCTCTATTATGGATGTCAGCTCTGTGGAAGGGGGTTTACCTCTCTGCACATTCAAAGTCTCACCTGCTTCCCAGTGCTGCAACCTTACCCAAAATCTTGTGCCAGCCCCACACAGAAGTCTTGGATATGTAGGACTGTCTTCAATGGCAGAAGACATCTCTCTTCAGGATTCCAATCCCCACTGCTTTGTCCTCATTTTTGGTAGTGCATGGAGGGTGTGATTTGGCATGGAGTACAAGTGGACCCAATCTAGAGTGGGCCTGCTGTTGAGTCTCACTAGTTCTTACCACCAGTGGCAGAAATTGAGAACAGAGTCTTGTCCTTGTCTCTCTGACAAGGACAGCCATCAAAAGGTTTGATCCGGGAAACCTAAGAGCTTTTTAAAACCTTGTAGTAAGTATCAAAGAAGGAGAATGGGAAATAAAGTCTTTGGGAAATTCTCTGAGAAAGTAAAAAACCTGCTGAATAAAAGTAGCATGAAAATATCTTGGCTTAATTTTTATAATTTTTATATATGCTGGGAAAAGTGCTTTCATTTATTTGTGTTAATTTCACATTTTCCTGCAGAAAAAAAATCATTTCATCCAGTGCAAACTGTTTTTAAAAAACTGCCTTAACAAATCATTGCTTCTTCAAGCAAGAAGTTATAGCACTGACAGGACTCTACCAAAGGGAAAGATGGTGGCACTACAATAGCCTCCAAAAGAAAAGATATAAGCCCCCCTGAAAAAAAACCCAAAAAAACTAGAAAACTAATTTTCTGTTTGTAGTCTACAGTCCTGTAAAATTCTGTGAATATTTATCCCTTTAGGCACTTCAACAACCCTTCTGAAATCAATATTATCTTTGAATGGAAAGCGTTAAAGAGATATGCTTTAAGTTTTAGAGAACAAGACTACATTTTAACAATTAAAAGGTGAATAAGCTCATTAAAAAGAACTACAGGTCTATTATATTCTCATTAATCATATTTCCATGTTGCAAAACCTGCACAAGGGTGGAACCGGATGAAAGACAACACTGATCTGTTTTATGGTATAACTCTTGTTTTGCTGTTCTGTTGCTAACTAGACATTGTGTGAATCAATGAGTCAGGAATTGGAAAGCTTTATAAAGCAGAAAAGTACTATATAAAGGTGATGCAGGTGTGTGGAAGACTACAAAAAACACTTCTATAAAAGCTAGTGGAAATGAGAGTGGAAAATCTCCTATTTCTCCTATTATTATATGCAGCACTTTCTTGTGCTTTCCCTGCAAGTATGAGACATCCAAAGAAAGAAGATGTGCAGCTTATCCAGGTGAGGAAGGTAGACATCTGGGAGATATTTAGCTACAACTGAGCATCCACAGCAGTCTGTGTAACTAGTATAGAGCAGCCAAAGAGAAAGTAGAATGAGTGAATATTTCTCAAAGTGCATATGTGATGACAAAGGCTACCCTAGCACCATCTTATTTTGCTTTTTTCTAGATACCAATTAAATCCAATGACGCATTCACTCTGTGTTAATTCTACAAATAATTAAACTCCTGTGTCAGTCTAGCATTGGTTTGTAGTTCAGGTGGAAATGTGGTTATTTATGTGCCTTGTGATATTATGAAATATAATCCCTCATGAAGTATAGTTATATTTTTTTCTGAACTATTACTGTCCAAAATGTGGGGAAACAGGATGCAACTACTGAAATTTTATATTCAGTTATGTATTTCAAATTACTTTCTCTAAAGGACTCTAGGTAACCTTGGAGGGTAAGGCAAGTTATCAGAAAATAATCTATTAAAAAATGTTAATTTTAAATGTCTTTTGATAACTACAAAATATTTATAGTGATAATACAATGTAAAAAACTACCATTAAGAGAAAAATATTCACACAGGCTTTAGCAAACTATTATCCATGCTGATGCTGCCATAGAACAGAAAGCAAAGCAGCAAAGGCACATGACTGATTTGTGTTAGTTTAATATAATATCTTTAATACAATTTTAATATTAAAAGTAATAATATTTTAAGTTTAATGTCTTTAGTATCTTATATATTGCTTAAAAGCAAACATCATTGATTGTTCTAAGTTTTGGGGTTTTTTGTTTCTCTTTTTCATTAGAAGTACCTGGAAAATTACTATGGCTTTAAGAAAGATGGGGAGCCTTTTGTTTGGAAAAGTAATAATGCAATGACCCAAAAACTAAAAGAAATGCAGGAATTCTTTGGGTTGGAGGTGACAGGGAAACTGGATTCTGGCACTTTGGACTTGGTACAGAAACACCGCTGTGGATTCCCTGATGTAGCTGGATTCTCCACCTTTGCAGGAGAGCCAAAATGGACAAAACAAGTCTTGACATACAGGTAATCACAATGGAATTCTTCATGTCAAGACACTGTGAAGCACAGGGTGAGTGGTAACAACACACCTTGTTCTCTCCCATATTTTAAAGGATAGTGAACTACACACCGGACCTGCATCCAGCAGATGTCAACTCAGCCATCAAGAAAGCGTTAAGTGTTTGGAGCAGTGTGACCCCGCTGAGATTCATCAAGAAGGACAGAGGTGATGCAGACATAATGATCTCCTTTGCAGCCAGAGGTAAATCTCTGTGTAACCATTACAAGTTACTGCCTATATGGAGCAGTTGACCTGGAATAATTTCTCCCATACATAGCACATGTGGAGATCAATGTCCAGATGAACAAGCAGACAGAAAAATTAAGTTCTTGCTCTCGGTGCTACGGTTACAGCTCTTGAAACATTTTGGGGGAGGGATAGAGTCAGATGAAGAGAAAGAGGAAGAGAATTTAGGGAGCCGCCAGTAATTCACTGGATCAATACCTGCTGTGTGCTGCTCAGTGTGTGCAAGAACCCCAGTCAGCTGTGTTTGGGGTTTCTCCTCAGGTCACAATGACTTCATCCCCTTTGATGGCCCAGGAGGCTCCCTTGCCCATGCCTATGCACCTGGAAAGGACTTTGGTGGAGATGCTCACTTTGATGAGGATGAAACATGGACCAAAAGCACAGAGGGTAGGTAGCTAAGTTCTCCAAGCCTTCCTGAAGCAAGTTGCACATGGAATCAAGGGTGCAGTGTCTGTCTCCTCTCTCTTACAAAGTGTTTAAATTGCCACTGATTTAAAGGAGCATATGGTTTGCATAGCAATAAAAAGCCTCTGAACCTCTGGTTTAAGAAGTTAAGACCCCAGCTCAGCTTCTGCCCTGCCCTGGGGGAGCTTTATTTGTAAGGGGGCCCCACTTCTTCCCACTCCTCAAACCTCTTCCTGCACAATTACCTCACTTGTACTGGCCCAGGGTCCTTCTTCTACGCTGAATTCTGCAGGATCTACAGACTATTTCCTTGCACTCTGCTATGATTCCATTATTTTTACTTCTGACCAGAATTTCATGTCCAACTGAATTTCCCACAAGTTCATTTTCTTGGGCAAGCATCTCTGAAAGCTTCTGACCTACCTTATGCCCTTATGTTATTCAGGACAAATAAAAAGACACAGCTCTCCTATTATGTGTTTTGTTTGATGTTTTCAGGTGCGAACCTGTTTTATGTCGCTGCCCATGAGTTTGGCCACTCACTGGGACTTTCCCATTCCAAAGACCCCAGTGCTCTGATGTATCCAGTTTACAGGAAATTTGACCCTTCAGTACACCTTCTTCATCAGGATGATATTACTGGCATACAGTACCTCTATGGTAATTCAGAATTTTTCATCAACTACTGCTTTTAATTTCAAAGACTTTGGATATCTTTCAGTAACATTTTTGTGTACTGGATATACCTCAGTGAGTTCACACTATAATTTCTTCCATAAACTGCTTCTTTTAGGATCATCTCCTAACACAAACAATGATCAAAGGGAATCTACTGAGATAAAAGACCCAACTGAGTCAAAAGATCCTGCACTGCCAAACAGCTGCAACTCCAATTTAACGTTTGATGCTGTCACCACTTTCCGTGGAGAAATAATGTTCTTTAAAGACAAGTAAGTCAGCTTCTGAAAGTAAAATACCTGAGTGACACTTTTTAAATTATGCCCCACAGCATGGAAAAGTAACTTTAATTTGAATATCAGCCATTTTTGACAGGAAGATAAGACAGGGAATCAGGAGACAAGATTGAAAACAAAAACAAAGAGGGTGGTGGAGAAATGAAGAGAGATAAGTACAAGGAGGAGGATGACCTTTGGAACAGGGGATGCTGTGAATAGGGTGGGGGGAAATGGCTCCTCTGAAAACATGTGCTGTTCTCACTATAGGCTGTAAGCAAGTCCCAAGTGTTCAGCATCAGGGAGACTTCAGCTTCGGCAAAACACATCACCAGCTCTGGGACACTTCACACCCTCTTTGCTGTCCTTGCTTTGAGAGAGCTGAGAGCTTTCCAGCCCTGACAAAATACCTGCTTGAGGAGTTCCTGTAGTGAGGATTTAGTGTACTAATAAAAGGAAAGGAAAATTGGGCTTTTGTTGCCAAAGTCTTAGTGCATATCAGCCTTGTGAAACAGGTCTCTCTAAGCTCCACTTGTGCATAAGGGGAAATAAATGTTTTGACAGAACAGCTCATCTGACCTATTTTAAATGTCTGCATCAAGAAGAGAGCAATCCCACCATGGAAATAACTGTCTTTACATTAAGTTTATAGGGAATGTAGCATGACTAACTCAGATACATAGCTGAGATAAATACTGCCCTGGTGGCCATGATGTGGTTTCATACCTTAGTGTGTGTGAACATCCAATTTTATTTAAAACCTGTTCTATATTTACACAAGGCATATTTGGCGCAAACATCCAGCAGTCAGAACAGTTGACTTTGAGTTGGTATCTTCATTCTGGCCACAGCTGCCACCTGGTGTCGATGCTGCATATGAAATTCCTGAAAAAGATGAAATGGTCATTTTTAAAGGTAAAATGTTGTTTTTTATTTTCCTGTTTTCTTCCCAAGTAGCCTAGAGACTTTGCATCTGACTTAAAAACAACTTAAGCTCTTTCTGCAGGATTCTACAATCTTGAATTTAGTCCAACAAATTGGCGTGTTTCAATCACAGAAATAATAAAATTATTATCCAAGTTAAAGAACATCTATCTTATTTCTTGATAGTCACATTGAAAAATTTCCCTGCCAAAATAAATGTTATTATTTTTCTTCTGGGAAATTTTCTATTGAATTTAAGAATGATACTAGCATTAATATGAAGAAAGACTGAAATTTCAGTTTTCAAAAAAAGTAATATGGAGAACTATTGCATTTTTTTTGACTCTAGAACTACTTTCAGTTATTTTCAAATTCAATGATTATTTTCAAGTAACCACCAGCTTTCATGAAAAACATTGTGTCATTCCCAGAAGAAGATATTCACAACATGTTGTTATCAACTTCTTTTAATAGGGAATGAATTCTGGGTTGTGAGAGGAGATACCATACTTCCTGGATACCCCCAAAAACTCTACACCCTGGGCTTTTCAAAGGATGTTACAAAAATTGATGCTGCTTTTCATAATGGAATTGAGGGGAAAACATATTACTTCATAGCAGACAAATTTTGGAGGTAATATTTCCTGTGCTACTTTTCTAAACAAAAGCAAACATAATCACATGGCCAATATCCTGTCATGATTTAGGATGCATTAGTCAGACACTTTTGGTGATCTCTTTCAGTGTCACAACTGGCTGTGAAAAAATATTTGAAAGGAGGTAGAACGGTTCTTTTAGTTTTCGTGTTCGTTCATATAACAGTTTATTTGTTTATTTGTTTGTTTGTTTTTATTTAGCTGTCTTGGTTAAAAAGTCATTGTACAGCTCCACAAATCGTCTCAGGAACTCAGGCAGAAGTTCATTATTCACACATCAAACATGTTTCTGTGGAGTAAGAAGGAGAATGTCACCCACTTTCCAGTTACTAACAGATAGTTTCATAAAGTTGCTGATAAATGCCATGTACTGCAAAGAATTATATACTGTGCATGGTTATTACTTTTTCTTTTCAATCCCATCCTTACTGCTCGAGTTTGTCTTACGGGACATGGATTTCTAACAGCTGAAGGAGGTGCTCCTGTAATGGAAGCAGTAAATAACCTGAATTATTTTAGATGACAACAAAACTTCTCTTTCCTTCCACCACAATGCCCAAATGGTTGTATATAGAGATCAACCTAGAGAATTATTCAGCTACGTGTCTGTAGTTAAAGCAGATGATCAAACTTCCATATTTTAGGTCAAACTCTTGTAACTTGAATGATGAAGAGTTTGATCATTAAATCTCTTGCTAAGAAAGTTATAGAAGGGAAAAACTTTCACAAGTCTTCTTATTCCAGCACAGAGAGATAAACTGCACATCACCAAAAATGTAATAGCTTGCTGTAAGTAACAAGTAAACTGACTTAAAATACATTATAACTTCAGAAAAAGTCCAGATTTTTCATGATAAATCTTTATTACAGAGATACAACATGAAGGAAATCTTTTTATAATCTATTATCTATTGCTCCTTTAGGCATGGTCACTTAAAAAAAACTGAAAACAGATTTATGGTGATGGTTCCAATATTAGGTATTCATACGTGGAGTAAATAGAAGCAATTCATCCAGTGCAGCTAGTAAAGTAGTAATTAATTTATGGCAAATTGTGTCTCTTTCTACACTACCAAATGACACTGAAAACCTTAAATGAACTTGGTTTTCTGTTGATAGGTAGAAGATAATGAGCTGAGAGGAATTAATCATGAACTGCTTGCAGGTTTCACTGACTCCTGTTTGTTTATAATTTTTCTCAGTTATGATAAAAGAAGTCAGTCTATAGATAGGAAGTCATTACTGCTAAGAGATGCATTTCCAGGAATTAATGGGAAGATTGATGCTGTTTTTCAACATGAAAGTGAGTAACTGTTCTTGCTAAAATCTGTTTGAAATGCTCAGTGTGATAGGGCTGAGAGTGCTTGGGCAGAGACAGGTACTTCCACATTCTGCTCAGAACCCACAGGATGACCAAGACCCTGAAGCAGTCACATAACACTCCCATGCTTCACTTTACCCCCTTGAAAAATGGTGATGGTACACCTTTGGTGACAGCTGCACCTCTGGAAAGGCCAGCTCTAGGGGAGAGAAACATCTGTATTCATGCTGATGTGCACATCACACCCTGAAGACAAACACTAAACACAGTGACATCTCAACAACATAAGGTGTTCCTATCACAGCCTGGCCCTCTGACATGAAACAGTCAACACCAGTTTCTCTTGCAGGAGGGTGAATGTTACTTAGACATGGAAATGCTAGGCTAGACTCAAGGACACATTCACACTGCCACATGTCACAGCTTCCCAGTTTCCTCCTTGCTCCTCATCTGCTGCTCATCCAAACCCATGTGTGGTAATTTTTTCATAATTTTAAGCAAATCTTACTTCTTCCTCCTAAATGAGTCTCACACACGGAGCTGAGAGACCTCACTCCCGAGAGGGCAGTGTGGACATGACTAGCCCAGGCTGGACCTCTCCCTCCCTGCATGGAATCTGGCAGCACCCATTGAGGAAGTGCCTGCTCACACCTTGCTGTGCTCTGTGCCACACTGGTCTGTGCAATACCTGCCCACAGGTGGCTGCAAACAAACCCTGCTGGGGGTTCAGCACAGCTGGTGTGCAAGAGCAGATGTTTTAAACAGAAGAAACGCATGGGATGCATCTTTTGTAGAGTGACCTTGTGGGGTTCATCAAGTACATGGTGCAGCACATGCATGGCTGGTTTGCTGTGAAGGGGGTCTCCATGCTGCTGCACCATCTTTTGCAGAGGTTACACCTGGGACTAGATGTTGTTGGCAGCATATTTGTATCCAAAGGTTGCTTTGAGCTCTTTGATGATATTGTTAAAGTGTATTAATCTTTATATCCACAATATAATAATTCATCTGGGTTTGTTTTTTTTATGTTGTTTTGTTTTGTTTTTTTTCTAGACTTCCTTTATTTCTTCAGTGGAAGAAAGCAATTAGAGTTTGACCTTGATAAGAAGAGAGTTACACGCTTCCTAAAGACAAACTTTTGGTTTCCGTGTTAAGAAAATTAAATCTGTAATGGTGTTGGAAAGAATGTATTGTTATTGTGCTAGAAAAGCTTTTTCTTTTATAAATATATAAAATGTAAATGTACTTCAGCACTAGTCAGAAGACATCTTGCACAATCATCAGTCATCAGTCATCAGTCCCTGCACAATCTGTGTTTCTTTAAATAATAGAACAGTATTTAACATATTGATGTGCACATAGGAAAGTAGTTAACATCATGCTGGCTAGCTTACCTAGCTTAAACAACAATGCAGTTTTTACTTTTGATATAAAATTGTGATTGATTTTATTATTTCTGCCATCTTCATTCTTCTTAACTTCTTCATCACCCTACATAGAGCCCTGCCATAGAGTCAGGAGTCCATGAGGAAGAGCATTTCTCTTCCTAAAGCTAGGATTGCTTTCAACCTGTTTTAAATATTTCAAAGCTAAGAAAGAAGACTTAACTTGCTCTTGTATTTACAGTGAGACATACAGGAGTTCCAGAGATCAATCCCTCCTGGCCTGAGTGGTCCTGAGTGGTGGAAGTTCTTCTTTTTTACACTGACTGGAGAGGCAGTTTATGTTGGTCACCTGATTATAGAAGGCTAAGTTTAAGTGTGATGAATTCTAAACTATTGATTGATATATGTATTTTCCTGTGCAATGTGCTCTCAGGGAGGTTGGAGCAGATGACCTTACTGTTGTCCCTTCCAACCTTACCCATCCTGTGAGCAAAGGCTCATTTCCCTGACATGGGAGCGGAGGGGCACACTGGCATGTAGGGAAAACCTGGGCACCACTAACCTGCCTCTGCTCCTGTCCAGTTTTCCCTGGACAGTCCCCATTGGCTGGGGGACACCTGTCCTGTGTCAATGAGAAGGTGCCCATTGCCTTACCTTAGGGGCTGGGTAGGTAGGGATCAACATCCCAGGTAAGAGCAATAGTGCATTTCATACCATTTATTTTGTCATGTTCAAAGGGGACTATGGGGATGTTCAAAATTTATTGTAAGTTGATTACTGGAAAGAACAAAGGCCAGGAAATGAAAGGATCAAGATAGATTGGGAAGGACAGGGAAAATAGAGGGATAAGTGCATGAGAGGGATTGGTTGTGTGCAAACAGATTGCAGTCAGCTGCTTTTTTGGCCATGCCCTGCACATTTGGTCCTGTCTTCTCAGTAAATCATGCCTTATGTGTGGGTGAGCTCTTTCTGTGTGAGTTTGTGTGAGCTTCATGCTGGACTGGCTGCTGAAGAGCTTAAGAGAACTGAACACCAGCAGCTGGAGCATGGCTGCAAGCTACAGGGATGTGAATGTTCCTGGGGATCCAGGAGGTGCAGGACCAGCTGATCTACTGGGAGGGCTGTGTGTCAAAGAGGGCTCCTGAGGGCCTCCACACTGTTGGTATTTCCACATTAGTGCTTCACCATGGGGCAGAAGTTCTCATCAGAGGGAGGTGAGCAATGGGGTGGGGCCATGAGTCCTTTCCATATTTGTCCAAGTGCTCCATGTTTTCTGCCTGTGACGGCCTCTGTGGCCAGTCTCACAGCCCTCTGGACACAGGGAGCAGACATGAACCACCTGCCAGTTCAATACTGCTGACATAATTTACCTGATGCTGAAGCCAGACATCACTTGGGGGCCACAATTATTTACATGGACAACTAGCAAGATCTAAGGTCTTAGAGAAGTTATCCTTTATTTCATGCATGTAAAAAATCTCTCCCAGCAACAAATGTCTCCCCCTCATTAAACAACATCCCCAAAAAGGAAAAAAGTTGAGAAAAAGTAGTTGTTCCATTTGATTCTGCTTATCCATGAATCACAGAATTGCCAAAAGGTTGGTTGGGCCTCTGGGGGATATCATGTTCAACCCCCTCTGCTCAAGCCCACCTAGAGTACGCTACTGAGTGGCCTTTTGGGGATACTGCTTTTGCACAAAAGAGAGACTACACCACCTCAGATTCTAACAACATTCTGTCACTCTCACAGTCAAAAAAGTGTTTCCTGATGTTGAGAGGGAACCTCCTGTGTTTCAGATTGTGCCCATTGTCTCCAGTCCTGTTGGGACAAGGTGGTTGTATTCTATTTATGCATAAAATTGTACTACAAGATTGCAATGAGATATTTCAATACACTTTATGTAACCTTTTTCCTGATGCATTTTTAAAAGTCCTGGTAGCAGGGATACTCAAATGGGTCACTCCAGTCACTGAGGAATCTTTATCTGAATTCTATCAGGGTCAAAACTGTATAATGGCATTGTCAATCTTGCAAGACAAATACTGCTGCCACACCTGCTGTAGAGGTGGCAAACAAGGCTTTGCTGTCCAAGTAGAACTAAAGTCAAAATGATTCATTTTAATGGCAGCACCTTGAGAAAAGGAAATGAGTAGCTCTGGTCAGGTTCTGATATTGCCAAGGTTGGAGAAGTAGGTTCAAGCCCTGTAACTTGAAAGTTTCTATCTAATTTAGCAGGAAATATTTCTGTGCTGTGTATTTCTTTCTTATTAGTCTCCTTTTACTGTTCCTGTTTTCTAATTCTGTATTTCCTTCATGTTCCTAGTATGGCTTTTTGATTGGTCTCGCAGCTGCAAGTCTTGGTCAGTCCATGGTCTCAGATAAAACTATGAAAGTTAAAAATATGCATGATCAGCTTGGCTCACACTTATAGTGTTTTTGGTTATGGTTTTGTTAGTGGATTTTTTTTTTTGGTGGGGTTTTGTGGATTTTTTTGGGTTGTTTTTTGGGGTTTTTTGGTTGGGTTTTTTTTTGGCAGGTTTTTTTGGGTTTTTTTCTTCCTTCAGGAAGTTTCTAACTGTTCTGGTTTGAATAGTTTTCTTCTGTTGTTCCTACTGCTGATGTTCTATGGTGTCTGTGCTTTGCACATCATTTCCATTGTGAATAACTGCATGAGACCATGTTATTTTCAATGGGATAATCTCTTCCAGCTCTGGTTTATTCAAATTTCTTTTGGAAATATTGTCTTTCAGATGAGATTATGGATCTCAGAGTAAAGCTGGCTGGTCCTAGACCTTCCATGATTGTTTTGTAGTTCTGATGTTGGTATCATTTTTTCTTCACAATTCTTATTTTAAAAATCTCCGGTACTACTAACAAGACAGCCTTTCCTTTTGAGTGAAAACAGACTTTTGAATTGAAGGTGATTGACCTGTATTCAATATCCTGTGCTCTTCTGAAATACAGTTTGAGACCTAGGGTCTGAGTTAAATGCATTCATTGTCTGTGGTACACTTAGTCCAAGCATTCCAGTTATAGTTTTCTCAGTCTCCTGAACACACCAGATTTTCCCTGTTCTAGCCAATTTCTACCCTGTTTGCATAGAAACCTGGATGAAGACAAAAGTCTCTCTCTCACAAGGACCAGGCTTACTATGTGACTCTAGAATTCAGATCAAAGAATTTCTCTGTTTTCTTCTGTGTTTTATATGTAATGGTCTCATTTGTTATGGTTTTCACCATCTTGTCTTGGAGGATATTTTGACTACATTTGAAGGTATATATTTGCCTTTTGCTTTCCAAGGACTCCATAGCATGACCATCAGACACAATCAAGAAGGTTCAACATGGAAGTCCCAGCGCTATCTAACCAAAGAGAAAAGCTGTTTGCAAGTTCTTTCTCTTGCTACTTATTGGTTTTCTTGGTTTCACACACTCATCCTGCCTAGAAGGGACGAATGACCTTTGATATTGTTCTTGGCAGGATTACAAATATAAGATCAAACAAGATTGGTCTGAGGTGCTGACCTGAACTGAAAGATATTGTGTAGTGATTTAAACACTCAGACTAAGAGCAGAGAGTTTACCGCCTCAGTAAACCAGACAAAGATAACTGATAAATTCTTGTAGAACAGAATAAGATTAAAGTGAGTCCATTTAAATATTGTCTTCAGGAACTTGTTCCTAGTGAGATTTTTGATTTGGTTAATGGAAATGCTGTAGGGGGGAAAAAGCCTTTCTTGGTAGCAAAACCAGCAGGTTTGTAGGTTCAGAGGTGTTTAAGACAACTCAGAGCTGCAAAGATGCATGTTTTAGGTGCTGTTTATGTTACAGAGAAAAATACTTTAAAACTGCCGAGGAGCACACTTTATTTCCAGATTATTCCCTGGCAGCCTCTGAACTTCCATCTGGCTGCCAGGAAGAAAACCACCTTTGCAGGTTCACAAGCAGTAGCTGTCTCATTGGATGTTTTGGCATTTGTGCCATGCGTCTAACTGGGGGACTGTGAACCTCTGGGAGTTGCAGTATGTCCCAAATGGTGCAGATCCCCAGGAAATATGCAGATTTAGTTTGTAGATCAGTGTGGTCACATTGATTCTTCTTGCTGCCTCTTTCAGGACAAGTTTTACATCCACGCAGCTTGTGTGATAGCCACCAAGTTTAGAAGCAAAGCTTGGTAACTTTGGTTCTGCAGGGCATCCCAAGGCAATCTGCCATCTCAGGAAATCAAGACTTGGACACAACAGACCAGATTCCCATCCCAGGTAACAGCCCAACTGCAAAGATGAAGAATATAATTTTATTTTCCTGTTTTCAGGAAACAGGTGTTTGGCATGGAAAGTGGCACTCCTTCCCTTTTCCTTTTACTGAAATCATTGATGATGCCATGTCTGAGACTGTGCCAGTCACTGAGGTGCGACACAGGCGCTGCCCTAGTGTGGGACTGGTCACACGGAATTGCTTTTCTACAATAGGATAATTAGAACTGATTCAGCACCTGTCATCCTGGGCCCTATCACAGTGGCCTTTGGACTTCTGAGTGGTTTGAATTATAGAGTTATATTCCTAATACTGCCAAGCACTGCACCCTGGTTTGTAAACTGAGTGACTGATCGTTCCCTTGGAGCAGCACCAACAGCAGTTCTATAAAGGAAATGTTTAACACCGGGTGACATGAAGCCATGAGCTTGTGTAAACTTCAGGACAGCTGATTTGGAGGCTTACCTTTGGCTATTTCATCTCAATATTAAAATTTACTTTGTTTATTAAAG